AATGCAACATACCAAGCCTTGGGATGCATTAGCTAATTTAGTTGAATAGTCAAAGGAGTCCTGCAGGGAAGATGCCCATTTTACAAGTGGGAATACTGAGGTCCAATGCCCTGTTAAAAATCACCCAGCTAAGGAGATTCCAGAACTGTCATTCACTTTGAGACCTAGCTGAACTCCCAACCAGTGTTTCCAGATCAGTACCTCAAGTTCAGGCTGGAAGACATTCTCTGATTTTCTCTTATTTATTTATTTATTTATTTCTCTCTATCTTTCTTTCTTTTCTGGTCTAAACCAATCTCTCTTATCCATGCCCTGGTCCCTCCACTCTTGGTCTAGGGTTGAACATGTAGACCATGAAGGGCTTTGCTTTGGTTTCATAATATCTATGCTCACTTCCTGCAAGGGCATGTAAGTTACTATTCTTATTGCTGTGACCCAACACCTGACCAGACGCAATCAGAAGCGGGGCAGTGGTGGTGCATGCCTTTAATCCCAGCGCTCAGGAGGCAGAGGCAGGCAGAGCTCTGTGACTTCCAGGCCAGCCTGGTCTACAGAGTACATTCTGAGCCTGCCTGCCAGGGCTGCCGATCGAGACCCTGTTTCTTACGACTTACAGTTTGAGGGGATACAGTCCAGCATGGCAAAGGCAGGAGAATGAAGTGACTGGTCACATTGTGTCTGCTGGAGGCAGAGACAGACAAATACTGGGGGTCCAGCTAGATTTCTCTTTGTTATGGAGTCCAGAACCCCATCCCCCAGAGTAGGATCGTCCACAGCTATGGTGGGATTTTCCATCTCAGAAACCTAAAATAGAATCTCCCTGACAGACCATAGCTTTGTCTGTTAAGTGACTGTGGATCTGGTCAACTTGGCGATTATAACTATTGCAGTACCCATAACCTTTCTGTCTGATACTCTTAGTTCAGTAAACATGGTAAACTCACTCTGCCTTCCCCTGGCATGTATTGGAATAAAGGAAAAAAAAATCTGGTCTGTTAAAATACTCAACCTGTTGGAAAGGTGAGAGGTGTAGACCCTGTCATCCCCTACCCCCACCTTCCAAAGGCCTGGGCTGGTATCAAAAGCCCTATGGAGACGTCATAGCTACTCTGTGATTCCTGGCCCAGAGGAGCCACCCAGGCGTCAGGCCAGGGCCCTGGGTATTTCCAGCTTCCAACAGCATCAGCAAGGTCTGAGAGACATGAACCTTATTGTATTTCAGGTGACCCAGGCACCGGGCCAGTAGCACAACTGGAGGTGCTGTCTTTATGCCCTTGTCTAGGTCTTGACACTTTCGCTGGTCTGCATAGCCAGGTAACAAGGAAAGACGTGGGAGGAGCATCCCCTGAGCTCAACAGGCACCAGAAATGGGTGGCGAGAGAGACAGGCAAGTTCAGATGCCACTAAAATGCTTGAAAATCAACTTGGGAGCACCCTTCACCTGGTCCCTCCCTACATACCCTAACCAATGCTTCTTTCTGAACATCATGTCACGGGGTAAGGCAGCCAAATGTCCATCTGTACACTGGACATCCCTAGATTGGCCACTGTTGAGAGAATTTCTTCTCTGGGGACATACAGACATCTGTTCCCTCTTCATAAGGTTCCAATGACAAACCAAAGCATATTTCCATCCTTGCTCACTCAGGGAAGCAGAGCATATGGGCTTCTTACAGAGCATGGCTGAGGGTTGCTGGTAGAATTGTGGGAGATCCCGAAGCAGGTAGAGTGGAAAGCTCCACCAAGCTTAGATGCTGGCTTCCCATAGTTATAAATATGAAAACTCTTCCGGTCAACCCTCCTTAGCCTACATGCTCCAATGCTTACGGAGAGCCCCAGCCCTCTTGTAATTAGAGTAGAATTGCGTACAGCTAGCTTGGAGTGTGGCTGGAGTCTCAGGTGATAGTCCAATGAGCCAGCCAGTCTACCCCTGCCTCTATGAGAAAACATCAACAGTCAACAAACCTGATCTTGGGGGAGGGGAGCATGTCTTCCCACAGGTACGGCCGACCTGATGAAGATAACCATGGTTTCACTTGGAGGACTGTCTTCTACGCCAGCTCTGTCCCGTGCAATCTCTCAGGCTCACGCAAACTTGGAGAGTTGGGTGCTCTACTTGAGAGCACCGCTGGTGTCATCTCCCGTCCGTTCTTATATCCGACCTCCGGGCCTGATTTCCTCTTCGAAGGCTGTCAACTCAGGCTCATCTGCCTTGCCTATGCCTGTAGTTAATAGGCAGAGAGGCTGACGCAGGAACCCAAATCTACCTGGCTCTCCTGCACCCTCAGACCTAAACAGAACTGCTGAACTGTCCCCTCCAGAGGTCAGCCTTGGGTGTCATTCTTCAGGAGCCTTTTTTTGGAGATAGGGTCTCTCACTGGTACCTGGTGCTCACTAATTGGACTACGCTGGCTGGCCAGCGAGCCTCAGAGATCCTCGTGTCTCTGCCTCCCCAGTGCTGGGGTGAGGTCTTACCTCACCTGTGTTTTTCTGTGGATTCTAGAAACTGAACCTGGGTTCTTGTGTTTGTGTGGTGAGAACTTTACAAACTGAGCTATGACCCCAGTCATAGCTTCCTGAGGCTGTAGCCCTTCAATAAAATTCCTCATGCTGTGGTGACCCCAACCATACAACTCTCTTCATTGCTACTCATACTCCATAACTAATTCTACACCTTTTATGAATCATAATGTAAACATCTGACAAGCAGGAAATCTGATATGAAATTCCTGTGAAAGGGTCATTCAACACCCTTCCCCGCCGGGTGGTGACCCATGCGTCAAGAGAATGACCCGTCTGGCCTCACAGGGTGGCTTTTCTAAAGCATCACAGCGGAATCTAACCAGTTTGTTGAGCACCGCCCCCCAGCACAACTAATATAGGAAAGGTGGGCGGGGATAGAAAATAGCACCTCTAGCGAGTTTCCAGTCTCTGGCCAGGGACCACACTAAGAAATGCTGATTGAAACCACAGCCCTGAAGAAGAGCCACCTCACATCATCCAGGAGGCTCAAACCTGTATTCCAAGTCTTTTCCTTGCCCGGCCCATCAGTTCCACTGTGCTCCCTACCTGAGTCTTACCTTCTCAGTCCTCCCCACATCCTTGGGAGATACAAGCTCTTCCCAGCTCAGGGTCTCTGCCCAGGCTGGTCCTGGCTTACTATCTGTTGACCCTCTTATCTTTTAGGCTCATCTCGAAAGCTCCCCAGGACCTTATCTGTCCAAACAAACCCCAGATCCTCCTGGCTTAGTTCCTATTTCATCTTGAAGCCACTAAGCTGTGGCTTCCTGGAGGACTGTCATGGTCCCATTGTTGCCTGCATTTGTTAAGTGCATGTGACTGCAGAAGACAGATCAGGGGTGATAGATGGATCTTCGGGGAGATGGATTTGGGCCCAGCCAGAGAAAAACCCTATCAAATGTGAATAATTTGATGCCAGTTCCTTAGGGTCCTGTCACTCCCAGCACCTTCAGTGACACTGCATAAGCCCCCTACCAATTCTGCAAAGCCCTTGGGCACAGTGCCCGTCTCATCCTCCCTATCAGGTCCCAATGTCCACTGGAGAACTTGACCCCTGACTAAGCTCATTGCCCTGCGTTTCAGAACCACAAGGCTGGATCTTACTAGGCAAGCATGGTGCTTTGGCAGCAGTGCTCACTGAACACAGGGAATGTCATCTTCCTATTCAAGGCAGTCTCCTTCCCCTCCTCTCTGCTCACCAGGTCCCCAGAAGGACAAGTTCCACCTTTACACACTCACAGCACTCTCCCACACCTGCCTTATGAGACTGGAGCGAGTAGTTTATTTACCATGAAGCCAGAGACCTACAGCTATCTCCAGCCCAGGCTCCTGGGAAAGCAGACTATTATTTCCAGCAGGGTGTCCAATATTTTGACATTATGACATGACATTGTGATCTCCACATGTGTTGGGCCACATGCATAGTTATCCTGGGACATGTGCAGTGCATCTGCTACAGTTCAGACATGTTACAACAGTATATATACAAAATGTGCTATGGATGTTTTACTGCTTATTTATTTATTCAATTGTGTGTGTGTGCGTGCGTGTGCATGTGTGTGTGTGCGCGTGTGTGTGTGCGCGTGTGTGTGTGCGCGTGTGTGTATGTGCTATTATGTATGCACGGAGGTCACAAGTTGCTTCCTTCCTTCTACCATGAGGGTCCCAGGGATCAAACTCAGGTTATCAGCCTTGATGATGAGCGCGCTCATCTGCTGAGCCATCTCAGCGGCCCTGGGGATGTGTTTAAACTCCTACAGGCTGCTCGAAGCTTCTTATCTATGTACCTTCCCAGGTGCACAGAAGCACGTAAAAGCTTTGTCCTTTCCCATCTGCAGTGGGAAGGAACCAGTAAAATCCATCCCAACCTTGAAGTCTATGACCCAGGCTTTCTGCCCATCCTCTCTGGGTTAATCTCACTATTTAAGGCAAGTTTGCAAGCTGCGGTTGGTTACACTGTGGCTGTAAAAGAAGGGAGAAATTTCCAGAATATGATCTCTTACAGCTTGGTGGGGCTTTCCAGCGTCAGGCTGAGCGAGAGTGTGGTGAGGTCTGCAGTTTATACCATTCAGGAAGGTCTGCCCTGCTTCCTCCCCCACGAGGAAATGCACCCTCCGTTTCAAAGCCCTCAGTTTTTATTGCGAAGGTCTGAGAAAGCCAGGACCCAGGATCCAGCTGAGGAACACTGTTTGACTTCTGTCAGCCTGTAGGTCTCAGGAGCTTTCCTGTTTCCACTCCTTCCCGGGCTAGCTAAGGTCACAACCTTCTGGAAGAACGCAGGGTCAGCCAGCTCGTCTGCAATTTCCTCTCCCTGTGTGTGAAAGGAGATATGTCCAACTGTGACTACACAGAGCGCACATCCTTGTGACTCAGCAGATGCCAGTGTCCTCTGTCCCCTCCCGGAACATCAAGCCGACAGCTGAGGTTTAATGCGGTAGCTACCGAAGCTGTGAGCCTGGACTCAGGTATTTCTCCCTGGGTCTTCCAGGCTAGTACTCAAGTCAGCTGTACCTATACCTATCTGTCCCAGTCCTGGGAGGTTGAACATGCTGGAAGAGCAGTCAGCCATTGAACTATGTCCCCAGCCCATGTCTAAGGTATTTTTTATGAACTGAACTATGTTAACTTCCTCCAAACTCATATCTAGAACTCTTAGTCATCTGTACTTCAGAAAGTGACTATATTTAAAGGTAGGGCCTTATCGGGATAAACAGACAAGCTGAAGATATATCATGGGCACTAATCCAGCATGACCTTGTTTTAAAAAAAAAAAGAAAAGAAAAGCAGACATCTACAGAAAGAAGACTGGGAAACAGTGACAAATTAAACAGAGATGCCTCCGATGAAGCCAACACTCGAAAGCTGAGGAAATAAATGTCGACTTGCACCTCACCCAGACTGAGGTATTTTGTTATGACACTTCTAACTAATGCAACACCAGCAGCAAAACAAGGAAATAGAGAGGGGGAATTGAAGGAGCCCTGACAACAGGGGTTCAGTGGCTGGGTGCTTGTCTAGCACATTCAAGGACCTGCCTGGGCTTAATCCTCAGTTCTGCAAAACCAAACCCCAAAAAAGCAGAACACAGAACCACAGCGGGCGTTCACTTTGCCCTCCCCCACCAAAGCTGCTGTGAAGTAGTTTCACCTTGGATTTTTACTGAGGTCGTCTGGTTCCAAAACACAATGTTCTTATGTATAGATTTGCCCTTTAAAACAAACAGTACCATACTGTATGTGGGTCTCCAGGATTTTTTTTTTTCATTTACCACTTTTTTTTTTTCCAGGAAAAGTATTAAAGAATGTGAAAGCAGGGTAGGCAAATCTGGGCTGGAATCCAGATCCCAAGTGCTCCAGCTGGGAGAAGGAGGCACCGTTCTCGACTCGGATGAGGCTGGCTTCACCATCCTTATAAGCGGAGCTCATTTCCCTCACAAGGTTGTGAACAGGATTGCATAAGAAGCCTCTGCTGAAGCCCAGGTCCCTTGGAATTATTGCCAGATTTTTGTTGTTGTTGTTGTTTGTTTTTTCTTTAACCGAGGATCGAATAAAAGATCTCACAATATCACTTTGTCCCTAGATAACATAATCAACTATTTTCTGGATGAAGAGACATCAAACTGGGGATGGAGAGGCCCGGGCAGATGGAAAGAAAATTCTCCAAGCCTGAGATAGATGGTGTCCCTTCCAACAGGCCAGGTTTCACGTGTACTTACTTTGATGGCCCATGGGGCACGGGGCTTGGATTTCCTTTCTAGGGAGGGGCCTCATGGTTCACTTGTTTATTGAGATGTGACCTTCTTTTGCTTCTAGAATATGCTGGGTGATGTTTGGTTTGTTTTGTTGGCAAATAAAATGAGTGGGAAAGGGAAGTGGACTCTAAGATCTGGAGTCAGGGGAGATGGTGAGGCTGACGTTAAAACACAGTGCATGCTAAAATATTTATAATGTGTTTGTGGGATGTTAATGTGGCATCTAGCAAGCACACAGGCAGCCACTCTAGAGCAGGCACCTCAGCTTTTCAAAGAACTTCTCTCATTGAAGGTGGTTTTCACCCTGGTTGTCTTCCACTTTCTTCAGGGCCCATTGTGGCCTTTCTCACCTTGAGGTGTTGATTCTCCTCGCAGAACCAACACACCTGGTTCTGCTGGGCTTGTTCCATTCATGCAGCCCTCTGCTCGCAGGGAGAGGCCACAGGGACTCGGCAGTGTGTGGCTTCCATTTGCTGCGAGCTTCTCTGGAACTAGAGTCTTTCTGTTCTTGGTGCAGGGGTGGGGGAGGGGCATTTTGCTCTGGGTTCATCTGTAGCATGAAGGAAGCTTGGGTGATTCTCACAAAGTATGACTGAAATACTCACATACTCACTGTTGCCCTCGAGTATTATTACTGGTGCACGCCTGTAAGGCCCTTCAGGAGACAGAGGTAGGAGGATCAAGAGTTCAAGGGCAGCCTGGGCCATGGCTGGTTGGAGCGCTGAGCGGATAAGGGCGCTTGCTGACAAAGCCCCACAGGTTGAGATCACCTGAAACCAAACCCAAGACTCAAGGGACAGAAGAGAACTGATTCTTCCAAGTTGTCCTCTGAGCTCCACATGTGTTCTGTGGCATGTACACACCTCCAGACACACGATCATCAGTCAATCAGTAAATAAATGTAAAAAAATTATACAAACAACAAACCCCTCACTGCTAACAAAGGGAATTAATGATACATCTGGGCTCTTTCTATCCTACACACACACACACACACACACACACACCACACACTTCCTGACTCATTTCCTGAGCTCCACTCTGTCGCTCACTTCCTTCCAGACTTCCTTCTTTTCTCCCCAGCACACGTCCCCTTGGGCTTCCACAAGTCTTCCTTGACTCTGGTAAACAAAGCCATTCTTATGGCCAGGAAAACACAGCCTGGGTTTGGATGCAGTAGAAATCTCCTTACTTTTTCATCTTTCTCCTTTTTCCCTGGGGGTCCTTCTCTGCCCTTCTCTGTCTAGAATGTTAACATCCCCCGTCTCTCTCGTCTGTGACAGGTAAGTAGTTTGCTATCACCGTCATAACACAGTACCAGACTAGATAACTTAAACAACCGAAATTCATTTTCTCACCAGAGAAGCCGGATATCTGAGATTCAGGATGGGTTGGTTTCAGTCCCCTCTCCCCTCAAGCCTCCACCGTTTGACTTCTTGAGACAGAGTCTTGCTATGTCACCCTGCTATCCTGGAACTCAATGTGTAGACCAGGGTGGCTGCAAATCTGTAGCATGATCTGCCTGTGTAGGGATTACAGGCATACAGCACCACATCTACCAGCTAGCTTCCTTTGAGGCCTCTTTCCTTAGCTTGGAGATGCCATTTCCCTGTGTTCTTTGGGCCTTAATTTCCTCCTCTTTCTCCTGTTCTTCCTTGTTGCCCAGGCTGTCTTTAACTCCTGGGTTCAAGTTATCCTGCCTCAATGTCCCAAGTAGTTAGGACTTAAAGGTATACAGCACCACATATGGTAAATTGCTACCATATCCCAGTCTGGACTTGAACTCATGGCAATCCTCCTGCCTTAGCCTTCCGAGCACTAGGATTACAGACCTGAGCTACCATGCCCAAAGGAAATTTCTTATTATTTTTTAGGCGCATGTATGAGTGCCTGCGTCTACGTACAGGTACCATGTCCCTTGTGCCTGTGGAGACCAGAACGCATCAGATGCCCTGGGATTGGAGTCACTGGTGAGCTGCCTCTTGTGGGCGCTGGGACTGGAGCCTGGGTCCTCTGCAGAAGCAGAAATTGCTCTTAATCAGTGAGCCTTCTCTCCAGCCCCAATCCTCCCCTTCTTATAAGGTTTTAGTAATATCATATCAGGGTTTACTTTGATGACCTCGTTTTATTTTCATGAGCTGTTTTATCACTCTATCTCCAGTGACAGTGACAGTCTGTGACACTGAGGGCCAGGACTTCAACTTATGACTTAGAAGAGCTGCAAGTCATCCCCTAAGAGGGGGGCTGCCAGCAGTGGTGGTGGAAGGGTCATGGCCTTCTGTGAGGAGGAAAGGGCTGGACACTTTCAAGAGAGGATGTAAGGGCCCGCATCTTGTCAGCAAAAGATTGCTCAGAAGCTCCTGAGCTGCAGTCAACCCTAGTGTTCCCTAAGCACAGGGTTTTGGGCTAAAGGGAACCAGATGGAGATAGCTCCTAAAACAGCCAAACATTAGATAAACAAGAACTTTAATAATAAAAATGAGGAAAAAATCACAACACAGTAGGCTGACAAGAGGCTGCTGTACAGTCTGACGTTGGACATCCTGACTCCTGTGAATTCTGGGAGGTCACAAGATTGGTCCCTCACTCTAGAAATTCTCTTCACGCATGTGTCCTGATAGGGTCGGCTTCTGTCTTCCTGCTATGATGGCTGCCGAGGCTGGTTCTGAACGATGTCACCGAGTAAGGAAAGCTGCCTAAACCTGACTTTAACCTGTGGTGAAGATGAAACTCCTTTATAGTCATTTCCTCAGTCCACACCCCATCCCAGCTTTCGAAGTTAGCAGACAGATGACTGCCAGTTTTCTGGAGATCTAAGAGCTTGGAGAATGCTGGAGACTCCTCAGCAGGAGACAGCCACGGCTCCCAGGGTCTCCTGAAAGTTCTGAGTCCTGCAGACTCCTCTCTCTTGTGCTCAGGAACACAGAAGGTCTGGGTACCGGTGACAAGCAGGGTCCAAGAACTTGCATAGAAGGAACACAAGGAACGTGGACTTCCCTGGCAGCCACTGAAAACCAGGCAATTTAGGAGGTACTGCTCCTCCTCCGGGGGTGAAGGGCTTTCCTCCTGGCGATGTCCTCCTCTGTGTCACTCTCGCAGTTCCTCTGGGGAGGAGAAGAAGAGACCCAGGGTGGGCGTCACAGGATGCTGTGAACAGAGCAACACCCAGCAGCCCAAGTCCATCTACTCTATAAGCTGGGGGAAGTGGAGGTGATGTCAAAGGGAAGCCCTTAGCGCCACCCAGAGACCTCTGGCAGACAGCAATATGAAATGAGGCCAAACTAATTGTATTGAGGCCTCCTTCTCAGGGGGCAGGGAAGCAGGTAGGGCATCCATGGGAAAACAGGTGCCAGGAGGAGCCCAATTACAGCAGTGAAAATGTCATTTAACGCCATTTGTGCCTGCCACTAATCAAGGCCACTTGGAAAGGTGGTTTGTGGGGCACTGGATCTCCTGAGCTCAGTCTGTGGGGAAGAAGTTGATTTTTCTGTAAGATCTTCCGGCCATCGCTCCAGAGCCTCGGCCTCACCTGGCTTCCACCATGCCTTCGGAAAGCTTTACTGAAAAGCCTTTCAAAGGGAATGACTTCTGGGTTCCACTTTCACAAAAGTACAACCTGGCAGTTGAAGCAGAGCTAGAACAACCACCTGGAGGTTACAATGTCTTTCCTGTCCGGTCCCACCAATCTAAGTGTTAAAATCGTGATTATTATTGTAAGGGGTTTTGTTTGCTCAGACTACAAGGTTTTACTTTGTCTGGGTACCTGAGTGAATGTATGTGGACCATATACATGCAGATGCCCATGGAGGCCAGAAGAGGGAGTTAGAGCCCTTGGAATTGGAGCTGGGGTGGTTATGAGTCACCAAATAGGCACTAGGAACCAGACCTGGGTTTCTGGAAGAGGAAAAAGTATTCATAATAGCTGAGTCATCTCTCCAGTTCCAGTTAATTCCAATTATTAAAAGAATAATTCAGATTTAAATGAGGCCCCAAAGTGTTTAATTTCTATGCTTCCTAAACAAAAGTCCCTGTAATTATCTTTCTAAAGAAATGTTTAAGGAAAGTCCAATAGGAAAAACCATACAACATGTATATGGGACCCAGCCTTTTCTTCCAGTAGAAAAGTCATTGAGCAAGTGACCCAAATATCTGAGTTAAGAAAAAAAAAATAGACTACATTTTGCACTAGGAAAAAGAAAGAAATTTAAATTCTTTACAGCCCACCCTGCAGCTATATCATGACAAGAAGTCCAGGGCTTAGTGGGAAAGGCATGACTGATGTCCCATCAGTCCAGCTCAGCCAGCTGGAAAGCTGAAGTCAAGAAAGCTGAGGCTAAACACCTCCTGGACCACATCTGAGTAGGACAACAAAAAGAACCAAGCTTTGCTGAATGACAACTTTTTAGTAGGAGCCAGAGTCAAACAATACAAAAGTAAGCTGGGCAAAATCGCCCGTGACGAGCAGGGATTCTCAGAGGGAGCAAAGTTGGCTCCTCCACTGTCAATGAGGCTGGTGGCCAGAAGAGGGGCTCAGTGTCGGAGAGCCACACAGGCCCCTGGAGCTACCAATTCTCAAGTCCTGGCAAGAGTAGGAACAAGCAGGAGCTCAGCCTAAAGAAAGAGGACCCCTCACGGCATGTTGGGGTCATGGGGAGTCCAGGAATGAGCTAGCAGCTGGGGTGCAGGCCTCATGCTAAGTGTCTTCAGTTCACACAGGATGACTGCCAGGCAGTCCCTTGCTAAGAGTCACCTTTTATCATAATGTCCAGACACTCCTGGCTCTCTCTACTCGACGAGGAGGGAGGGGTGATCCCAGGGAGCCCCTCCCAACTGAAACACGAACACTGAGGCCCATTTC